TCTGTTTCCCTGGTAAGCTAGCAGAATCTATCAAGTCTGTCATAGTATATAAGTCCATTTATGGTGGACCTATGAGCATTTCTGCATTTTAGGCTGGTTACATGTACATAAAGTGATCTGATGACTGCCTCCAAATTAAATGAAAAATGTGATGTTGGAAGCCAAGAGAAAGTCATGGTATAACTTCTAATGGCCCTCCTAAGTTTAGGTTTTGACCTTTTCTTTATCAAGGAAATCACTGCTGATTGAGCGAGATTGTTGCCATTGAGCGAGATTTGCTGATTGAGCGAGATTGTTGCTATTCAATATCCCTGATTTGATCTGTATATATTGTAATAATGACTAGGATATTTACCTGGTATATAGCTGATTCAGTTTCCATTCTTCTTGGCTGTAATACATGTATATATTACCATGAAATCAAAGTAGAAGACACGATTCCTGAAATATTACTTTTGATACTCTATTAGTGGTATCAAAGCCTCTTTTTCTCTGAAAACAAGTTTGATCCTGAAACCATGGCCGACCAAAGCCCCTCAACCGACTCAAGCAAGGCTGCCATCACCACTCCAGCAATTGCTGCCGCTCCAGCTGTTGGCCACCTAAACACCAATTCAACCAATGTCATCACCTTCAACGTTGCTGTTCAGTTTCCAATGAAACTCACTACTGATAACTACTCGAGTTGGAGTAGGCAATTTATTTCACTACTCAAAGTATATCGGTTGTACGAGTTCTTGCTGGGAACGAGGCCATGTCCACCTGTCGATCCCACTCCAGATTCACCCTATGATGTTTGGGTGAGACAAGATCAATCCATTCAACATGCAATTTTGACTTCAATTGCTGAATCTATTCACCCATATGTGGCCAGTACTGAAACCGCCCATGAAGCATGGATTGTGCTGGAAAGACTTTATGCCAATAACTCTCAAACCAGAATTGTGGCACTCAAGGAACGATTGTCGAATCTCAAGTGTGAAAGCAGAGCAATCATCGACTATTTGCGTACGATCAAAGAGCTTATTGATCGTATTAGCCATGCTGAGAAAACACCCCTCTCCAATTCAACAATACAAGTGCATTTCTTGAATGGTCTCGGATCAGAGTACTGCGAGTTCAAGGCCTCTATACGAGCGCGAGATGGACCGCCATTGTCCTTTGAAGATTTGCAGGACAGATTGTTGGCATATGAAGAGTCTTTACAGTGAGAAGACTCTCGCCAAGAATTGCAAGCCCCATTGACGGCACAGTTTGTAACCGCTACTCCTAAGTTTAATGGTGACTATCACAATGCTATGAACAATGTGCAGCCGACTTCCTTCAATTCTTATGGACCTTCATCCAATCACCCCACTAGATCTGGTAGCCCAAATTGGCAATTTAATGGTCCAATGAACCGTGGAAACAGGGGCGGTCGTGGTAGAGGTGGTCGACGAAATTCAGTCAACAGGTACAATAATCATAATAACTTTGCCTGTCAATTGTGTAATGGTTTTGGCCATTTTGCTAGGAATTGCCCAAATCTCAGGAATCATGCACATGTGGCAAATTTTGCATCCACATCTCGCAAGGCAAGAAATGAATGGTGGATCGATTCTGGTGCATTCGATCATGTTACTCCAGACTTGTCTAACCTTGCATTACATTTGGAATATGGTGGACCAGATGAACTGCTTATTGGGGATGGATCAGGTTTGACTATCTCACATGTGGGACAATCCACAATCCACAATCCCAACCAAAACAAAACCTTTACTCTTGAAAAATATACTATGTGTTCCAAGTGCTTCTAAAAATTTAATTTCCGTTTCTAAACTATGCCAAAATAACAATGCATTGGTAGAATTTCATCCTAATTTTTTTGTTGTGAAGGATCGCACCACGGGAGTGACGCTTCTTCGAGGGCACAATCATCATGGCGTGTACCGCCTACCCGCCCAAGGTCCACCTAAGACGGGTCCAATGGCAATGGTTGGAGAAAGAGCATCTATTATGGATTGGCATGCAAGATTGGGTCATCCTTCGTCTAAAACTCTCAATAAAATTTTTCACCATGTTAAATTACCTATTTTAGATCGATCTCGATTTTCTTTATGTGAGTCTTGCTTGTGTGCAAAGAGTCATAAATTACCATTTGGCAAATCATCTATTTCTAGCAATAAACCTTTAGAAATAATATATTTTGATGTGTGGGGCCCTACCTCATTACCTTCTATGGATGGCTTCCTTTATTACGTAATTTTTGTTGAATTGTTTAGTCGTTATGTTTGGCTTTTTCCTATTAAGAGGAAATCTGATGTTGCACCACTCTTTAAAAAATTTCATGGTCTTGTCGAAAATCAACTTGGAACAAAAATTAAATCTTTTTACTCTAATGGTGGTGGTGAGTTTCTTGCATTAAAAGACTACTTTCAAACTCAAGGAATCTCTCACTTCATCACACCCCCTTACACACCAGAATTAAATGGTATAAGTGAGCGTCGAAATCGTCTTATTGTTGAAACCGGTTTAGCCCTTTTGCAAACTGCTTCTCTTCCTTTAAAATTTTGGAGTCATGCTTTTCTCACTGCTGTTTATTTACATAATAGGATTCTAAGTTCTACTAGCTTATGTTCACCTTTTGAAAAATTATTTCACATTACACCCAATTATCTCAAACTTCGCGTTTTTGGGTGTTCATGTTATCCATGGTTGCGCCCATACAACTCTCATAAATTACAACCAAGGTCTCGCAAGTGTATCTTTTTAGGTTACTCTATTGATCATATGAGTTATAAATGCTTTGATCCTATTTCTGGAAAGGTCTTTTACTCAAGACATGTTGTCTTTGATGAGCATGATTTTTTCTACCAAAAATCCCACAACTTAGTCGCAGGTGGTGGCACTCAATCCTCTGCTAGCCCATCCGCATTAGCTACTGTTTCTCCATCGGACATTGCTAGCCCTCAAGCGTGCTCTCATGGTGTGGCCCATCAACATGACCCTCAGGTAAATTCTCCCACTAATCATCTCTCTTCCTTCTTACCTCCTATGGTCCAATGTCCCCCAAATCTTCCATCTCCATCTCATACCCGTGAGCCCTCCTACCCACCCATAGTCAAGGACCCAAGCCACACATCTTTGAATCCTTCAACCCCAGCCCATCCCACCTCCAACAAACCACACCTAGAACATCTATCCTCCACTCATGGCTCTCCTCGGGCCCATTTGCCCTCACTTCCCTCATCCCCGATCCAACAAGTTTCCTCTAGTCCCTCTACTACCTCTTCCAGTTCCACTTCTGCACCTACAGTGTCTGCTCCTCACCCCATCGGACCTACACGAACTCACAATATGACCACCCATTCTCAAAATAATATCTTTAAACCTCGCACTCTATTCCTTGCCACAAAGCACCCTCTCGACAGTTCGATTGAACCCACTTGTGTAAGTCAAGCCTTAAAAAATCCTCAATGGCGTCAGGCCATGTCTGATGAGTTTAATGCTTTGGTTAGACAGGGTACTTGGGAACTTGTTCCTTGCACTGATGTTCAAAATGTCATTGGCTGTAAGTGGGTGTTCCGTGTCAAACGGAATAAGGAAGGTGGTATTGACCGATACAAAGCACGTCTTGTGGCTAAAGGATTTCACCAACGACCTGGGTTCGATTACTTTAATACTGTTAGTCCGGTGATCAAACCTACAACAATTCGTACAGTGCTTTCGTTGGCTGTGAATAAACACTGGCCTATTCGCCAATTGGATGTTAATAATGCCTTTTTGCATGGGAAGTTGGAAGAAGAGTTGTTTATGGAGCAACCACCAGGTTTTGTTGATAGCTCTCAGCCCCAACATGTTTGCCGCCTTCATAAGTCCATCTATGGTCTCAAACAGGCTCCTCGTACTTGGTACCAAGAGCTCAAAGCGTTTCTACTTCAGCATGGGCTTGTGAACTCCCGGTCTGATTATTCCCTGTTTATTTTTCATTATCAGTCAGAATGGGTTTATTTCTTAATTTTTGTTGATGATATTATTGTTACGGGCAGTACCGAGAAGCTAGTTGAATCAATTATCTCCTTAATGGGTGCCACCTTCTCCATCAAAGATTTGGGTTGCCTTAACTATTTTCTTGGTGTGAATGCTATCTTTACCAATGCTGGTCTCTTTCTGTCACAAGCTCAATACATCCGTGAGCTATTGGCCAAGTTTGACATGAGTGATGCTAAGCCTGTGCAGTCCCCATTGTCCACTGTCCCGTTGCAATTACATCAAGGAAATCAGCTCTCTGATGCTCAACCGTATCGTCAACTTGTCGGTTCTTTGCAATACCTTGCTCTTACTCGACCGGATATCTCTTTTGCTGTCAACAAATTATCTCAGTTTCTTCATGCTCCATCTGATGTTCATTGGCAAGCTGCGAAGCGGATTTTGCGGTATCTTAAAGGTTCTTTATTTCATGGTCTTCTTCTTCGTCAACAGCCGATCTCTCCTTTGCATGCCTTTTTTGATTCAGATTGGGCTGGGGACAAGGACACTTATCATTCTACAACTGGCTATGTGGTGTTCCTCGGCAGCAATCCCATTTCTTGGCGAGCGTGCAAGCAAAAAACTATTGCTCGCAGTTCCACCGAGGCAGAGTACCGTGCACTCGCTGCTGCTTCTTCTGAATTGGTTTGGATTAAGCATCTACTTCATGAACTTGGCCATCCTGTATCTGAATGTCTTGCCATTTACTGTGACAATGTTGGAGCTACCCATCTGAGTAGCAATCCAGTCATGCATACCAGGATGAAGCATATAGCAATTGATCTCCATTTTGTTCGGGAACTAGTTGATCACAAGGTCCTTCGAGTGAGCCATATCTCCAATGTCGATCAATTAGCCGATGGCCTCACCAAACCACTTTCATCGCGTCGTTTTGCTCAACTCCGAACCAAGATTGGAGTCACCGATGGGAGCTCCATCTTGAGGGGGCGTATCAAGGAAATCACTGCTGATTGAGCAAGATTGTTGCCATTGAGCGAGATCTACTGATTGAGCGAGATTCTTGCTATTCAATATCCCTGATTTGATCTGTATTTATTGTAATAATGACTAAGATATTTACCTGGTATATAGCTGGTTCAGTTTCCATTCTTCTTGGCTGTAATACATGTATATATTACCATGAAATCAAAGTAGAAGACACGATTCCTGAAATATTACTTTTGATACTCT